CCAAGCCTCTTCGCTGGACGAGTCGTCGATCTTCTTCACATCCTCAGACAACAGCAATTAAAGCATGAGAAGCAATGAAGCACAACCCAATGTTCGCATCATGCAGCATGCGATATTGCTATCAGGTCGCTTGCCACTTGCCGTCCATGACAGTTTTGGCAGCCAGCAGGTCTTCCATGGCTTTGCCACTCGCGGAGTGCCCCTGGAGCACCAACTGTATCTTCGCCATACTGCCGGCCTTATATCGGATGCATCCCAGGATGTCCTAAAACACGATGCGAATTAACATGCGTGCACACATGCGGTCTTTAATGCAACCATTGCTGCTTTGTGCATCATGATTGTGCTCAAAAGCTCTTTGGTGGCCGAGCGGTCCACCAAAGGAAAAGGTGTCGTGAACAAAGAGGATGCCTTGGCCTTCCTGACATCGAAGACCGCTTTGGGGTTCTCGTTGCCGCCTCCGCCCTTCCGCTTGTTTGCGGTCTTGGCCTTCGCCTTGACTTTGGGAGTCGCATCGGCAGGGCCTGCCGGGAATCACCGGAATGAGATTTGCGAACAAAGTGCAAATCCAACCATGCACAAAGCACCCCGCCTGTTGGTGCAGGGTTGGTCTCCACCGGTGTTGCTCCCGGGGCCCCTGAGTTGCCCTCTGCGGCACCGTCGGCCACAGGCGGAGGGTCGTGTCGCAGCCTACAGCCATCTCACCCAGACCGATGTGTGCCACAATATAAGTAAGAAAACAATCGCACCGAACGGCATGCACCCGAAAATGCAGGCGAGGAGCAGCCTGCCCATCAGGGCCTTCGCCTCCGGTCGTTTGTCGAAGGCCAAAGGAACCACCTTTGCCCTCAGCTCCTCTTTCCTTTCATGGGTTTCCTGCAAGCGATCCTGAACAACCAATCTGAACAATTTCGCATCCTCATGCCCTCGGAGATTGGGATCTTGTTTCCATCCTGAACTGAGCAAAATCAATTGCAGCTCGCAAGCCTCGCACGAAACAATTAATATTAGCCGAGCCACGGCCGTCGAGCAGAGCCTGAGCAATTGCATCCTTGGCTTTCTGGCCGTTGTTGTGGTAGAAAGCTAACACACCCTCGGGGGTCAGGTAGTCGGACAAATGGGTCGTCGTCCTTGCACAAAAATTGATCTCAAACATGTCTCTGTGCATGGAGCCGTGGCGGAAAGTATTAACTTGGCAGATCGAACTGACGAGTGCGAGCAAAGAGGCTCCGTCTGGGTGTCGGCCAGAATGATTTCCGTCGTAACGGTGGCGACAGACGGATCATTCCACCACTTTTTGAGCAATTCTTTGCGAATTGTGCCTCCGGTCTCCCACAT